TAAAAAGCTAAAAAAATTGAACAAAAAAAATGCATGGCTTTGGAAATCGTCAATACTTGATGAAAGCTTTCAGAATTATTTCTTTGTTTCAGCCAAAAGCAATGAAGTGTAAAAAATAAATATCATGAGAACAGAAAATAGGGAAAGAAGAAAGAAAAGTAAGCCCATAGGCTTTCACGTGGGTATAGGAAGAAGTGGGAAAGAAATGGAAGGGAAAAAAAAGCAATAAAGAGATGCCACGTGATGATTTTAGAAGAAGTCAAGCTAAGTCAAAATAAGCAAAATTTATCATATAAATGGATTTGTAGTGTTTTACTCAAGGGTGTAATCGATTAAGTTTGAATTAATACAGTATTAAGCTTGAGTTTAAATTTGATTTGAAATTTGAGATTCGAAATTTGACTCGAATTCGATCAAGTTTTATTTTTTTAACTCGTGTTCGACTCAAGATAGAAATTGAGTTACTTGAATTCACTCGATTAGGCTTGATTAATATGTAAAAATAAGTTCGATTCTTATATTCGATAAAAACTTGATTATTTGTGCTCGAACTCAAATTCAAAATATTTTATTAATTAAAATAATAAAAATATATTTAAATATAAAAACTCGATTAGGTTTACGAGCTACTCAAGTCAGATATAAAAATACTCGAACTCGATTAAATCGATGAGTCGAGTTATTCAAGCTCGAGCTCGACTCGATAATAATCAAGCCGAATTCGAGTTTTATTCAAATCGAACTCAAATAACTTACGAGTATTAATGTATCATTTACATCTCTAATTTTACTTGATAGCAACTCCAATTATTTAAAACATTATATAGCAAATATTTAAAACATTCTCAATATTATAGAAAACCATGTTTAAAACATTAGTGTTTTTAAAATATTGTTTGGTGAAGTAAATAAAAGAATTTGAATGCTGAAGTTATCATTGCTCCGTCTGTCTTATTTTTTTTTTGTCCTTTTTTTTTTAGTGTCTCAAAATTATGTTTTTTTTTTAATCTAAAATTCTTATTTTTTATATTGTAAAATTATTTTATATAATTTTTTTACTTTTTGATATTAAAAATTATGAAATTTTAATTTTATAAAAAAATTTAATTTTAATATTAAATACATTAAAATCAGTTTTTTTTTTTAACTCCCAGAAGGAATATCAAGCTTTTTCATGTTTAATCAAAATCGACAAAACAAAGAAACCATTGTATTACAACAATTTGAAAACCGAAACTACTCTTACAGAAGGATAGCTACTGGGGATCATACTACAAGTCTATAATTGTTTCATGGCCCTGTCAAATAGTAGAACCTAGAGCTTTGAACCTTTGGCAATGATTGGTGGGGCTTGCAAAGCTATCCTGCTGTTTGAATCCTGATACTATTTCATTAAAATTGAAAGAGTGCACCAGACCTGTGCAGTAGTGCAACGCATGAGCGACACTTGAAACCCAAGCAGCAAGCTACCGTGATGGGATCTCTCCTAAAAAAATTAATTTAATATCATATGAATCAATTAGCCAAAAGGCCGAAAAAAGTATGCTTTAACTCAGGCCTCGACTTCTGTTTTTACTGATTTCTTTCGAATACTGATGTGTTTTCTCAGTGTGGTAAGGGAACTCAAGCCAAGCAGCTGTCATGAAACTGAGCATATGATTATATATCCAAGTCCAACACATCCTTTGCTTGTGCAGATGTTGCACATCATTTATTAATCATTGTTTTATAATATCTGTGGTTTGTTTCTAGTGTCGTTTTATACTTCTTTTCCCTCTTTGTTTTGGGGTTAAATGCAGTAAGTTATTCTAGCTAAAACAAATAGCTCACATACAATCCAAACGTCTGATGGCTATACAATCTCTAGCTCCAATCTGCAAAGATAACTATTTTCTTTTGAAAGTTGGAATGCTCGAGCTAATTGTTTTTTTTTTCCTCTTTTAGCTTTACTAGTTTCTTCTCACTTTGGCAAACTGATCTGGTTCTTTAAATTTGTTTCCAAATGCCAACAGTCAGCTTTTGAAGAATTAAAAACCTCAGCCCCTCAATCAGAGAAGCACCAAAGTTCCAATTAAACCGTGTAAACCCTCCTTAAGTTGTTCACAATGTTGGATAGAGAACTCGGTCAAGCACCACCACCACCACCATGGCATCGTTGCCATGAATCCATGCGAGAAAGTAATTCGCTTGTGCCAGTGATCCTTGAGCTAAAACTCACAATAGAGAAGGTCATGATTAATGAGTCATGACCATACAAACTTATATCTGATCATATTAGGTGGTAAGTTCTGGTGACAACCATATGGCCAGGATTCATATACTCCGGTTCATAATTAAGTTGGCTTCATAATTTGGAAAAGGTGAAAAGAAAAGACAACTATCATCAAAGACATTGCCATCTATGTTCATAACTGATGAGAAAATTCCAATTTTTTTCACTCTAAGTCGTAGAAAAATTCTACAGGCTTTGCAAAGGAGAAAGAAGGACCTAGTCAGAATTCTACAAAAGGCTCATATTCCAAGCTGAATCACCTAATGTTGATTCTACGTTAAACTATTTTAGCCAAGGGCAAACATTGGAAAATCATCCAGAACACATTCAAAGCTTGAGACTAAATCTTAAAGAGGCCGCCCCCGCTGTCATAAATTATGACGTAGGCTCTCCCACTTAGGGAGACCTTAGAGCAGCACCTCTCCCAAGTGCAATGGAGGTCACTACCCTAAGCCATGGGTCTTCTTGATCGCCCATTGACTCCGTCCAGGTAAGTATGATACAATATTGGGATATGCTTCTTCGTTATACACCTCTCTTATATATCTTTTATGATACGATAAGGATGTGGGATTCAAGCTGATATTATGGATTATTTTCTAAAGTCCAAACATTTCTCCAAAAAAGAAAAAAATAAAAAATACATTTTTAAAAGTTGACCAAACAATAATGGCAATTCCAGCGTTTAAAGGGATCTCTCGAGGCTGATATTTCAATTTGAAAGGATTCTATTCAAATCTTAAAATAAAAGAGATTAGATTTGTATTAGATTGATTGATGAGGTCTCTTCCATTATAAAAAGAAAAAAAAAATTTTCTTTCCCAATCCGATTCGATTCTTTTATTTATTTATTTTTTCTTACGATACAACAATTTTGATTATCAGATTTTTTGAATAAAGCATCAGTCTACGTTTATAACCTAAAATAAGGTAGCGTGGACTCGAGGTTTAGTCCAACAAGGATAAAGTTATCATTTTCGCACTATTTTCAGGAGCAATTCTGCAAGCTGAATTATACTTAAATGCACTTGTTCAAGTGAAAGTTTCGCTAAATATTGAAAGAAAATTATGAGATTGATCACAATTGACATTTTTCTAATCAAGACATTAATGAATTATCACAGCATATTCTATCAAGACAATGAAATATCATAGTATATATATAGAATAGAATTATAGAAAATCCAATAGTCGCATGCATGTATTCTATATTCAAAGAATTATGTTCGAATTGTTTTTCCTCCGTAAGACTGGACACATCCCATACATCGATGTGGCATATAAAAAATGAGTCCAATGGCTTCCAACTTTTGTTAGTATCTGTTTCGAAAACAGAAATAACTACATAAAACCATCAAAAAACTTTTCAACTACAATTGGTGGGGTGCGCCTGGCCGTGCAGTAGTGCAACGCATGAGCAACGCTAGAGAAACCCGATAGCAAGCTACTGTGATGAGATCTCTCCCAAAAACAATTAATATAATATCATGTGAATCATTATCAGATATTAAACTGATAAAAATAAATATTACACCTGATCTCGGTTTTTCTTTTATAACACACTTTACATCACCCTTCGGCCTGCGCTCTTGAAATGGGATACGAACTTATTCAATACAACTTTTAGTATGTATTCTTACGCTGGACAAAGTTATTTGATGTCTTTATGAAACACAAACTTGAAAAGGTAATAGAACTGGTTGAGTAGCACGTCCATATAGGCAAGTTTAAGAAATTAAGCATTTTTTTTTTACTGCTTCTAGGCAGAGGAATTAGATTCATTATTACCAATTGGCCAACTGGAAAAAATCTAAAATCAATTCTCGCAAAAAGGAATTGTGGGAGACTGTCAGACAACCTTTGTGACCATCCCAGGCTGGTTCAGTAACACCATACAATCTTTTCCATCTGCCTAAGCATTTTCAGTACAGGATCAACAGCCCACACCTATGTATATTTTCATATTTTAAGTACTATCTTTTCTAATAGAAACTATAAATTTTGATTTATATCATACTGAATTTTCAAAATAATTTTTTTATAAGAGTATATGGTAAACATTATACTTACATACCATATCTAATTAACCATTGGTTGTATGGTAATGGATCAATTAATTCTTTTTCTAGAGATGCTTTTTCTTTGTCAATGGGATAGAAAAAGACTTAAAAGAAGAAAAAAAAATTGAAATTGTATTTGAATATCTGCTTCTAAAAAATTCAAGATAAGAATGAAGAAGTCATTTTTTGATAGACAATTAAGAAGTCATTTTGAAACTGTAAATTGACAATTAAGAAGTCGTTTTGAAACTGTAAATTTAAGGCCTAAATTCAATGGTCAAAACAAATAACTTCAAACATTAATATGAGAGAAGAAAACTCTCTCAAATCAATGCAAATTTGTGAGGTTCTTTCCAAATTAAAGCAAACTATAAATCTTGATTCCACCCTCATTTCCCATATTTTTTGGTTTCTACGTACTTTCCATAAAATCAGCCTAAATAAATTACAATCTGCCCTCAGTAGTCAGTAAGTCTTCCATTATTTAATAGCTTGCCTTTTTTACCAAATTCCCATGAAAGAAGGTAAATTTTCAAAACGTTCGTAATTTCTCTATTACATTGTGAATATTATTTATAAATAAACCACCCTAAATGTCTTTCTCTATTGTTTTATAGACTTTGATAAACCTATCGAAAGTAAACAAAGAGTTTGAAAAAAGAAAAATAATGTCCAAGAAGCTTCAAAAATCTCTCCAGGATTATCTCTCCAAGATCAAAAAACCCTCCCCAAATTTTCAGTTCCCTTCAGACTCATTCTCTTCTTCCAAAAAATGGATCCTGAAAGGCTGCAAACAACCCAAAACCCTTTCTTTTGCTGTCGATCGCTACATAAATCATGATCATCAAGCAACCAGCGACGACAATAATGATGATGCGGCGACGCTTTCTGATGTTGATCGTTTTCTTTTTGAGAATTTTAAGTCTTTGTATATCAATGACGATGAAGAGATTAATGAAAGGAGAGGTAACGTTAGAGAAGATCACGAAGATCATCATGATCATCAAGTGAAAAGCCCTGGTGGGATTTTGTTTGAATCCCCAAGGTTTGTTGATCCTCCGCCAGACCTTTGCGGGTCCAACACGTTCTTCGTGGCTACAGGGTTGTCGAGTTCTCTTATGGAGGAAGCTCGGAGTAGTGCCGTGACTAACACCACCGTGTCAATGTCAGAGGACATGGGTTCAAACTCGACCTCAACTTCAACCAACAACAACACTGCCAACAATTCCAACAGCTATGGCGACGGCGGCGTCGATCATGTCAAGTCTCCAAGTATTCCTAACGAGTGCATCGCGGTGTTAACGTACTCTCCGAACCCGTACGATGATTTTCGACGTTCCATGCAAGAAATGGTGGAAGTAAGGCTGCAATATCACTCGACGATAGATTGGGATTTCATGGAAGAACTTCTGTTTTGTTACTTGAACTTGAACGACAAGAAGTCATACAAGTTCATCTTAAGTGCTTTCGTCGACCTGATCGTGGTTCATCGTCAAAACGATAGAAAGATTCCAGCGAGTTCTCGAAATTCTAAGGTTAATGTAAGAGACAAGAGATCAAGGAGAACGAGGCACAAAATAACGTAAGGATTTGGCAATTGTGGCCCTCTTTTTTTGGAATGGAAAAAAAAGAGGCGTGATAACGGGGCGGCTTTTGGGTTCGAGAAATGTTGATGTAAAACTGATTCATGTTTTTGTTAATTTGGAATTTGTTGTTTTTAATATACCAATGTTGGTGATTGTGATATTCTTTTTATTGCTGAATATTTTTAAAAGATTTGAAAAAGTAATTTTTCATAAAATTATTAAAATGAACTTAAATAAATTTGAGATATAATGAGTAAATATTAAGAATTTTATACGACTCAATAAAAAATACAGAATATGCGTCATTTTATTTGAGTGATTTTCAAGAATCACTTTATTTATAATTTAGGTTATTGGATGGTAGTGGTTTTTGGTAAGATTTGGTGGATATTTGTGTTGAACTTGACCATTGCTTGTTCCCCCGTGATTAATTGTGCAAGAAATGAGACAGCTCTTGGAATAATAATCCAATAAATAATATTTTCAGCATTAATTTAGGTATCCAATCACAAGTCTGGACTTAGCTAATACATGTAGTAATTAAAGATGAAACATATAAGATACCCACCCATTTACAAATAAAATCATTTTTTATTCTACAAAAATAAAAGCAAAGTTAATTTGTTAAAAGTGGAAAATTTTGCCACTTTGCCCTATTAGAGGAAAAAGAAATAGATGAGAAGGCACCATTCAAAAGATCAACATCATTTTATGCCTGACTTTGACCTAACATATAATGCCCATTTTCATTTCATATTTGGCCAATAACTTGTTAACTAGTAATTTTTTGGGCGGTTGGCTGTACCCAAAAAATGTCCATAGCATATGCCATTGTCTAATTTAATATCACATGTACCAAAAAAAATTAAAATAGTAACTAGTGGTGCTGTGAATGTAGTAATATTATTGAAATCACATAACCTTAATTATATCCAAAAAAAATTTTCAGAACCTTAACATGGTAGCATAACGGCGGATGCAAATGTCACGTGATCACTATTTTCTTCTTGCAAAATTGATTTATTGGGACATGTAGTGTCAATGTTTATATTTCTAATGATCTTCCCTTCCTATCTGGTATAGGATTGAAACATTTGATCTACTCTTTTAGAATGTTTAACCTGACAATCTCTTTCATTCAATCTCATGACGTTCTCATCACAACTATCATTTTATCTGCTTTCTTTTGAATTGTTTAGTGTGACCAAATTTTGTCACCGTACTTTATTTCAATACTTTATTAAGTGATCAGATTAATTCACTTACTTTTATTATGGCACCTTATTAAGTGGTCAAACTGACCCATCCTGCCTATCCTTGCTGGGGCCATTAGATTTTACTATTATGCCTTACCCCAGCATTTTATTAAATGGTCGGATTGGCTTATACTGTTTACCTTTGTTGGAGCATTTGATATGAAATCAGATAAATCAAGAATTGATTCTGATATTATTTATCATGTGATCATTATTTTTTTCTTATAAAATCAACTTATTAAAATATGTAACGTCAAAATTTATATATCCAGTAAGCTTTTCTTCTTATTCAATTTGAGATTGAAACATTCAAAATGCTTGACATGATACAAATATACTGCAAAAATTAAAAAACAAATACTTTGAAGAAAATTACTTATTTTTCATTTTTTTGTTAAACATTTTTAAAATTTCTTTATCTTTTATATTAATAAAATTAATAAATACGTCATCAATTTACATACATACATATATATATATATATATATATATTATAAATGATCAATCCGAAAAGCAGCAATAGATCTGTCATTGAAAACGATGTGATGGGACCGGTGGGAATCACTCCCCACCAGCCATCCATATGAAACATAGGAGTGATCACTTTGGTAATACGCACTGTTGACTGCCTACTTATATCTCTATCATTGAAATAGACAAATACCATAAAACATAAAACCAAAAACAGCAATGATACTCGAGAGTAAATAATTTAAGCAGGTTCACAAGCCACTGGAACTGAAACTGAACAAAGGACAACTTTTGTAACTACAATACTAATGGTAAGAAGCAATTATGGGCGCCTCATATCCTTTTCATCAAATGGACCTCATTCCTTTTGCATCAGATTCTATATATTTTAATATCTACACATGAATACCATAATTACGGTAGCTACTGTCATTTCCAAAAACTATTCTATATTAAATCAACCCTTTTTTTTTTTTGTTCAACTATATAAATCAACCATTGTATTGACAAAGGTGATCACTTTGTAGGCTCTTACCTCTTTGTGAAGCATTGACAACTGTCAAGGCTATACAAATCAGGAAGCAAAAGTTTAGGCTCATCCCCTCAACAACTTCACTTAATTTCGGTCGGCTTGATTTTGTTTTCCACAAAAAGTCAGCTGTGACCAAGTCTAGTCCTTCGTAATCTCAGTAGTAGTAGCCCCAAATCATAATAGGGGAAGACAGCTTGCAAAGTGCAGCATCGCCCTCATGTTGAGAAAGTACTTTCCTCCAGAAATGAATGAACAAATTAGTTGCTTGGTTACACAGGCAAATAATTTTGATAGTTGTGAAAATGCAATATGCTTCACACATAACCTCCACAATGTTTATCATAATTCTTCTCTCTTCTGACACTCCAAGAGATCATTGCTCTAGAAAACATCAAGCATCCAAGTTTCAAACCTTCACTTCCACCCAGACCAATCATTAAATTGAGAAATAGCATCCCCTAGTAACTGGTAGGACAAGATAAGTTTACTTCCTTTGATTGTTCGGCATTTCTCTACTTGTTTCCAGGTACTACTCATATAAAGAATGATACTTCGCAGGCACAAAATCCTTGAATCTGTTACAAATGACAACAGTATAAGATCCAGTAAAATTATCAGATAATAGTTACATGCTAACAAGGAAAAAAAAACTTTCGGGAAATGAATGATACGCTAAAGAATATCAGGTACCTAATAAACCAACACCAGTAATCTACATATCGTATAATAGCAAAGTGTTCATGCAAATTGTTTCTTGGATGAGTGTTGCAAACAGGTAGCCCTCGTAAGTTATGAGACCTCTGAGGCCCCCTCTAAGGCTCTTAACATATTTAATTGTTCTCACATAATGTTGGATTATGCTTAAGACATTTTGGAGGTTTTTGCAGAGGAGTAAGCATAAACGGAGGTGTCAGTAAGTATGGAGAATGGTAGTCCCTTTTCAGCATGTGAGGGAGCTGTGGAAAGAAAGAGTATCGAGTACTCAACACAATGGAGCATTTTATGGCTAATTTGCTACACTTAAAGCACTTTCTGGTTATTTTCCTCCTGGTGCATGGTTTATGCTAGAAATGATTTCAGTTATTCCTCCTGAGTTTATTAACAGCTTTGGTTTTATCATTTTCTGCACTCACATTTTTCCCTTTCTTCTGTTTTAAGCGGCTACATGCTTCTTCCTTTTTTCCCCCATATTCTTTGATGCTTCCCAAATATACTTCGACGTACTTAGGCTTTGAACATTCTCATACCAAGAATAGGAAATTAATTTTGCCACACTTCCAATGATATCCTAAAAGTGCACAACTCTGGTTTGAATCATCATCACATTAACCAGACAACGAGTTCCAGAAATCTCAGCCCAAGGTATACTAAAGGTGAAGCAAACGTATACTAAATTATTTTTGAACATGCCTAACTTACAATGGAATTTATATTGCTCACATAATGGAAGATCAATCATACCAGAAACATGAAAAACAAAAAGCATCATGAAGAAATTCCGACCTTCAAATTTAATGCTATCATTAAGGTGACAGCCATTTTAGAGTAGATGGATACCTTTCCTGAAGAGGAAGCATCTCTGGTCCTGAAAATAATCCCACAATGCATTGCAGAACATTACCAATCTTCATCACTTTGGACTTCATTGCCTTCATAAACCCCAAAAATTCTTTATATTCTGCAGGATTAAGTTTCTCTTTAACCTGAAAGGCAAGGGAATTGATAGAAAAAATCTCTAATCCAAAGCAGTTAGATAAATGCTATGAGGAAAGTGAAACAAATGAGGAAAAGTTTGATTGGTTTTGTGAATTTCAAGAGAAAATAGCAAAGTACAAATTAACAAAAATCATTCCAAGGAAGCCAGTTCCGACCATAAAACCAGGAACGAATCCATGTGATACCATGGGTAGCCTTTTGAATTTAATTTCTCCAGAGGCTCCTAAGATAAGTTTCTGAACTCCTAACATAATTCCAAAATTTACAAAAGAACATTATGACATGTTTTAAAATAATATTTCATTCCTACTCCACTCCTACATCCAATAAAGTTAAAGAAAAAGCCAGTCACTTAAGCCACTTAAAGTGCCTGCTTTCTCCTAAGTGAAAAAGCAGCAGTATGTAATAACCAAAAGATACTGTTGCAGTCACTCCAAGAAAGAGCGTCACTAAACCTTGTCAGCTACCAGCACATACCTCAAACAAATAGATCATAAAATTTTAAAGATTCAGAGTGGAGTGCATGAACGAAGTTAAGCATAGGACCTGGTCTAGGCAACAAAGACAGACTTTGTTTTCCAACCTTCACTCCAATGATAGAAGCATTCACATTAATTTCATGATTTTTAATTCAATGTCCTAATCCATTTCTTCGAGTTCCCAAAATTTTGAATACACCTGGAGGTTTTTTTCTCAATCAGCGTTCTCTGTTTTTGTCTCATATTGTACTTATAGTCCTGGATTTTTGCTCCGTCAGTTTCACATTATGCCTTCCCTTTCTAATTCAGTACTCGATTCCAACATCACACAGCTTTTTCTAAGGAGGTTTTACTTCTTCTATAGTCATGATCTATAAGATAGTTGTAAGATGCAAATACAATATCAACAACCTTGTGGAGCTCTAGTGATACATGGTATGGACGCCTGCAAGAAAAAACATTGTATAAATTAGCAAGCAAATATTGTTAGCAATACTAACGTTACCAGTGGGGCTTTAGAACAAGACATGTATAATGTATTTCAAAAGAACAACCATATGAAGTATGGAAAGACAACACTACTGCAGAAACCTACGGTCCAAATTTTCTTCCAATATTCACGAAATCCTCTATGTCAAGAGGTTCATCTCCACTATGAGGGTTGTTCTTCATATAATCTACAAAAAAGACACAACATTAGTGAACACCAGATGCACCTCAAATATGTCTAAATGAAAACTTCAAAAAAGAAATTAGAGAGATAGTTGCTTAATTCACTGGAAACAATATGAAAAGTGTAGTCTAGAACACGAATACAACAATATCCCAATTCTTCCCTATTGTTCATATCAACCCAGAATCACCACCATCTAGTAAATAATTCGAAGGACTAAACAATCAGAAACGTAAACCATTTCAGCATTACCAAGATGAATCAACTGACAGGCATTTCTTACTTTCTTCTTGGGGATTGGATAACAATCCAATGTGAAACAAAACTTTAACAGCATCATGAAATCATACACAGCATTCCATAATAATTAGTACAAACTCTAAAGCCTCAATCAAAATCCACCTCCTCCCGTTTTAGTTTTTGTTTTTTTCAGAATTACTTTATAAGCCTCTTTAGTAGAAGATAATTGCTGCCAGTCTATATAAGATAAAAGTTGAAATCAATTCAAGAGTTAAAGTTGAAATTAAACAGAAAATTGTATAGATGCTGATACATTCCGTGCACTGGCCTGTGCATGTCTGATGAAATCTATGCTGAAAAGTATAGTACACTTACCAGCAACACGAGGAAAATGAGTGCAATAAAGCTTCTAACGCTTTCTGCAAAGGAAACACAGGCATTTGTCTAAGCTTTTCCTCAAAGTAAACTCACTTCATTATGTATGCACAATTGCTTCCGAGATCCCAAAACTACCATCTTGAGCCAAAATATTGAGCTTACAAAAATATCAACAAGATAAATGTCTACTGCTAGCTCTGAATTTTTTTATGGAACAATCATTTAATTCTCATGCTTAAGAACATATTGCAACAACAATGATTGACAACAAGACTCAAAGTTCCATCATGTATGATATATCAAAGCAAAAGGTCTAGAAATCTGAAGTATCTTCACCTTTCTCTTTCTTTAGATAAAAAGGAAATTAAATTTTATGGCATATTAAAGGAAATTAAAATTGAAATGGTGTTATACCTTCATTTTTTGTCTTTAAGACTTAATGTTTCCAGACAAGCAATTTTTCATATAAATACTGATCAGGGAAAAAAAAAAAACCCTTACCAGTTAGGCAACAAGCAAAATGAGATAAATTTAACAATGATTCAAGTTGAAACATAAAGTGAAAGATTTCCTAGAAATACAGCAGGTTTTTATATACTCCAGATCAAAAAGCGATTGAAATCAGGCTGCAAATTAATCAAAACAGTTCACAAACAGCTACAACTTGGCTTAATAATTAAACAAAGCTCAAGCTGCAATGGGAAACTCATTTGTTAAACAAGCCAAGCGTCAAGAAATTTATCCCCAACTTGAAGGAGCTAGTCAACACATGGCTTAATGGATTTTCATGATTGCTCAGCTCCAAAGCATCTTATATCATCTCAAGGTTCCACTTCTTTTCTTATCGAAACAGATATAAGATAACAATCCTGCATCCATAAAATATTATTTTAAAAGGGAAAAAAAAGCAAGAAGTAGTTATCAGCTCATAATCATTCTTCCTAGGCTCTGACTTTTAGAATAAGACAAAGGCCTTCCAGGAGAATGGAATTTTTGCCAAAATCAGACATGTTTTATAAGGCAGTCAACAGACTTTAGTCTACCTCATTCACAAGCAACATAGATAAATTAAAGAAAAAGTACTCTTCTTCTTCACAACCCAATGCATCTACTATTGAAGAAAAGCAAAGATTATCATGCTTGGACTCGTGTGGATGTCAAACATGAGTATGTGCCAACATATGCACTTTCAATTTTTCCTAACTTTGGAGCGTCATACCGTCATATCGTGCTAACTTTGAGGTGTCAGATATGAATCCAACATGGGCAATGACAAGACCGAGCAATATCAACTCAGGTGCGAATGTCAAACATGGCTATGTGACACAATACATGCACTTTCAAAGTTTCCATAAATTTGAGGTGTCAGATATGAATCCAACTCTAACATGGGTAATTACAAAGAGTAAGCAAGATCAAATAAATCTAACATAATGTAATAAACAACTAACTAGTGATGATGTTAATATTTCTCATAAGACATATTAATCGACCCCACTACAGCAAAATCACGCATCACAAAACTGGAATGATAAGCCAGCAGCAAAGAAAACTAAATTATTTATTAACCTACAATGAAACAATCAACACTGACCTGTAGTTGCTTCTTCTCAACTCTTGAAAGACTTGAAGGAGTTGACTGTGAGTTTGTGAGGTATATATAATGGTTGGAAGGTTGCTGGCCTGAGATTGGGATGATCCCACATCAGATTGGCTCCCTGAAAATTGACTCTTTCTTTGACCACTCCCAGTTGAAAAACCACCCAAACTTTTCCTCCAGGCCAATGTGGCACAGAGAAGACGTAAAGTTTTGCAAGTTCCAGTATGATTCTCCAAAAGTGCATTACACCTCTGCTACATAAAACAACAAATATAATGCCCTTTGAATAAACAAAATTCATGCCACTCATCTCTTAGTATTAGAAAAATGAAACTCAGAGCAGGAATTTATAATCACCCTACATCAACATCCAACTCAATTATACTAAAAATATAAGCAACAATTACCAAAGCGCCCTTCAATTGCATACCCATGTTTCAATGCGGCATCAAATTTTCTTTTCTTTTAACACATTTCTTTTAAAAAAAAAAAAAAAACTGAACAATTTATTAATTTCAATAAACTAAAAATATGGTTTTATGCTTTTAGAAAAAAAAATTGAAGAAAATTACCCACGTAATCACTGTTCATTAAATTCAACACCATTACCCAAATTAATTCTGTATCAATAAAATGAAAAAAAAAAAAAAAAAAAACAAGAAAAAACAAAATTTAAGGAGACAGACCTTTTGGAGAGCTTCAATAACTTTCTCCATGTAAACAAGTTGGCAATCGTAGGCCTCGAATGGAAAATCAACATCGATTCCCCGTAATTTGTATGTTGGCGTCTTATTTTTTTTTCTCTGTTTGGATTCCGAGAAAGTGGATGAAAGAAAATGATCGGGTTTTACCTTCGTTCTCTCGTTTATATATGAGAAACAGGAACGTTGAGTATAAACCCTGGGGAACAAATGTGAGTTGGATTTTCCCGCCATTGTGCTACCTATCAGTACATGGCCTTTTTCAAGAAACGCTGTCGTTGGACAAGCATCAGGTTACTTCAGGGTTTTCAGTCAGGTACTCTAGTTATAGCACCCTGCCATTTTCTGCTATTGTTACACAGGTTAGTTGAGTTTCTTATAACCATAAACTTCAATGCCTTATCTAAAACTCCAATTTCCATGTCTTTTCTATTCAATTAAAGATGGGAAGCTCATTCAAGTAAGTCTTGTTGGTTGGGCACTGAAGGCAAAGAAAAACGAAGCCTTATTAAAAGCTGCTACCGAGGGTGCAGCTCCTTCTGTTGCAATTCAGTTGGGGAGAGTATGGCGCAATGCATCTTCTCCCGATGAGCAGAGATGATGGGGCAACAGAGATTGCATATCTCATATTTAAAGGCTTGCAATTTTAGATGATACTATGAACTATTGTCTAATTATCCATGACATTGCATATCTCAGATTCACAGCAAAAATATATATTTTTGATAGAGATTCAGAGAAAATATTTAAAATAAGAAGCAAATCAGAGCATATTATTGAAATTGAACTTTCATCCGAAGCAAGAATTGAAGTTTACATAAAAGAAAATATGATCTTCTTGATCTTCTTCTCCAAGAACTCTGTCAGGTCTTCTTCAAAAATAGTTTCGCTTGTCTATTCTGAAAGACATGAGAATTGGATATATGTTCTCAAATGCCTTTAAAATATCCTCTCTCTTCCCTCCAGCAATAGCAATCTTTCCCGAAGCAAAAACCATGACCTTAATTTGGGGTTGTTATATCCAATAAATGAATCCTGGAAACAACTCTGGCTCGTATATTGAAACCTCGCTATGAGAATTCCCAAGGCGTGTAAGATTTAAAGGGTATGTAAAATCATAAGAGGCAACCATGTTTTGAATCTTGAAATCCTTAAACTTAACATCAAAACCAAGTTTTTGGATGATCCGAGCATGCTTACGGGCGGCCAAGTGGGATTGTTGCTCGGTTTTGGCTCCAGTGCAAACCATCTTTCCAGAAGAGAATATGAGAGCAGTGGTATTGGTTGACCTTATCCTCATCATCACCGCAGCAAACTTTTGCGGTTTGTGTTCAGTATTTCGAGAATGAAGGGCAATGGCTTTGAGGTCCAGCTTGCAACCCAAGTTCACAGTCGACACCACATTCTCAATAGTAGGAACAATGCCAGACCCAGAACCAGAATGGAGACAGCCGAGAGGGTGCCTGGGACTAGAAGAACGCGAAACTTGGGTACTGGCTAACTCTATATCAGCCGCCATTAAGAACAACTCTCTCTTGAAACTAATCTTGGAATGAAAAGAATGCAGGGCTTAATGATCAAAAAGAATTTGCAGAATTGGAGAAAAGGAAATTATGAAACTGATTAATTGTATTTTGCCTAAGAATCAGAAGAGAAGAGGCGGCAAAGAAATCTCTATTTCAATTGGGATTAGATAATTTGATAAGTAACTTGGTACTTGTGGCTCAAGTCTAACTATAAAGAAATCCCCATTCCAATTGGGATTACGTAATTTGATAAAGAAATCCCTAATCATATCCCAATATTGGGATTAGGAAATTTGATAAAGAAATTCCATTTTATATATATTATTATTTCCCCATTGTTTTTATGTTTGTCTTAGTAAGGGATAATATTAATATTTTTATTATTTTTATTGTTATAAATAAAATGTAGATATTTTTAATTGAACAAGATAAAAGTAAATTTTAAAGTTCTTCACATATTTTTTATAGGAATAGTTTGTCTTTATTTAAATTTTGAGACAATGTTAAAACTACATCTTATGTAAAATATAATATTTTTAATTCGGTTCAATAATATTAACATGAATTTATATTACAAAATAGGCGAATGAATTTTATAACTTGTGATTTTTGCTTTTTTGGTGAATATGATTTTTTATGAAAGGTGAATATGAATTATTGATATTAAATATTAAGTCATATGATTGTTGGTTTGTTCCATCATGTATGGCATGGAAAATATTTATAATACATTTATATGACAATTCTTGGTGATATGTTGAGTATTTAGTTACTTAATGAACACTAATCAAATTAATTACAAAATATAAAAAAATAATATCAAAGTCTCAAAAGAAAAACAATTAAAGCTATTTTTTGTCAAACATGTTTTTAGTATTTGTTTTTTATTCATTTTTAAATTTTATTTCTTGATTTTTTCTATTTTAATTATTTTGCATTTGTGACCAAATATCACTAGCATCACATCTAATAGGCGTGTCATTGCTGTTGAATTGGGTTGAAGAAATAATGAGAGGGAAGAAGAAAAAAAAATGAAGATGACATGGAAAAAAAAAAGGTTTGGGTGATATGGGCTGGCATGCCAATTCAAATAAATATTTTCATGTCGATGTCTTGTCATCACATTAATGGTGATTAAGTAAAAATTCTGATGGAAATATTAACTGAATATTTATATTTAAAATTTTAATAGAAATAATATATTAAATATACTTCTTTTTAAATAATATTTTAAACAATGAATATAATCGAATCATTCTATTAATTGCATAATTGTTTTTACAAAATTTAATTATTAAAAGATGTTGTATTATTAAGGTTATGTGTAGGAGTGAGCATTAATCGATTTAAATCAATAATTGATAATTTAAGTAATTTGGATTCATTTTTTTTAGTTATTAGGTTTTACTATTTAAGGTTCAATTTAGATGATTTAATCTTTGGTTTTAAATTTTATAAATTAAATCGATAAAAAAAATTGATCTTTATAATTAAATATTTAATAAAATACCTATTAACCCTTACTCAACTCATAATATAAAATTTACTCGTATACTGTAAACATTACTTTTTTCTTAGCTTACGATTAAGAGAATAATTGAGTCGAGTCGAGTTGATACAGTAAAAAGTTTGAGCTCGACTCTCAACTCGTGATTCGATATTTAACTCGAACTCAATCGAATTTTATTTTTTTAATTCGAGTTCGATTCATGATCGAACTCGAACTACTTAAACTCGTTCAATTAAGCTCGATTAATATATAAAAATAAAAAAAATAAATTAAAAATCCCCCGGACAAAATAGCTCTGAATTTGTCATTTTCCTTTATAGAGCCTTCTGTAGCTCAGGGATTAAAGTTTGACACAACAATTATTGCATGGATTGCTACTAAACTCATCTAAGCACATGGACGACTTGATAACTTGATAGACTTACTACTTGCATTGAAACAAATTTGGTCATTCTCACAAAAAGCAATTCTGGACTATTCCAGACAACGAGAATGGCTATTCCAACAATAGAAAACATAAATTAAAAAAGAAAACAAAAAAAAAGCGGGATAACCCATGAACTATGCTTTGGATGATATATATGTGATAACTGCCTTTTCCCTAACTCTCAACCACAAAGATATCTGGTTCTTGGCCGAATGGTAAGTGCATGTACGAAATTACATGGATGACTACATAATCAGACACAAGAAAGAATCATGGCTACATCTATAAAATTCACTTATCATGAAAAAATCTTTTGTAGTTATGCAGAAAGGTAGCAACTTGCTCTAACTTTGATTTATCTTGGATTTTCCAACTTTGATTTGTCTTGGATCTTAGTTGACTCTGGAAACTAGCTTCGAAATATTGAAAGAGAGTGAAAAAAAAGGGCGTTGCATGAGATGAGAGAGACAAGGAGAAAGGGAGAAAAGAAAGAAGGAAAGAAGAAAATAAAATTTTAGGAGTTTTTAAGTTAAAAGTAAGATAGTAGTTTTATAAATAAAATAATAAAAAATATATATAATAAAAAAGTTCGATTAAGCTCGTGAGTTATTCGAGTTAGATATTAATATGCTCGAACTCGACTCGTTCGATAACTCGAGCAACTCGAACTTGAATCGATAATTATCGAATCGAATTTAAATTTTAATCAAATCGAATTCAAGTAGTTTACAAGTACTAATGTATTATTTACACTTCTTCTCACGACATGACTACTTCATTTTTTCTTTAAATCCTTTTATTATTTTATGTTTTGTAACTTTTCTATTAAATGTTATAGTTTTGTCTTTTACTTTTCCATTTTTTTTCGTTTTTTATTTTTTTATGGTGGGTCTCACTTTTTTTTCTTTTGTTTCTATTTTTTCGTTTTTCATATTAAAAAAATTTTAATTTTTATATATTTTATTTTATTATTTCAATGGGACCCATTAATTTTTATGGTGCTTAGTGGTCAAATTTGTTTTTAACTTTTTTGTATATATTTTATATTTTATATTTTTATTTAATTTTTTTAAAAGTGGTACCAGTTATTTTTTGTTTTTAGTCTTTTTTTTTTCAAATTTTTTATATTTTTATGTATTTTTTCAAAGGGATTCACTATTTTTATAAGATATATTTTTTCTGTTTGTTTTAGTTCTTTAATTTTTAAATGATAATTTTTTTAAGGTGAGATTGACTTTATTGTTATATTCTTCGTGAGATCTGCTTTTTCTATTGCTTTTTTTGCTAATTTTCATTTTATGGCACATGTCTTTTTTTTATTTATCATTTAAAAATGTTTAATATATATTTTTAATTTTTTTGAAATCACTTTATACCAATTTTTCCTTTAACAAAAAACATAATTAATCTTTGTTATTTTTTGTTAGACTTACTTAATACTAAAGGTACTATTTTTTTTCTTCAATTTTTAAATTTTTTTCATTTTTAATTTTTGTATATATTTAATAAATAATTTTTTAAATTTCATTTTTTAGTGACTTGTTTAATATCAAAGGTGTGTCACATGTCAAATAATTTAATTCCTTTTTTGCCTTTGATTTTTATTTTTTTATTTACAATTTTTTATTTAATAAATATTTTAAAATATTTTTATCTTTTTAATATTGTGCCCATTTGATATTATTATTAAAAACATATTTTTTTAGTTACGTTTTTATTTGATAATTATTTTTAAAATAATATTAATGAAGGTGCCAATGTCATAGCTTAATTTTTTTTTTTCGTTCTTTCTTTTTAGTCTTTTCTTTTGTTTTTTTAAATCTATGATACAAATTTTTCAAAAATAAAATGATTATTGCTGATGTAATGTGTCAATTCAATTTTTTTCTCTTTTTTTTTATTTTTTGTTGTTTTTCCTTTTTCTTAAAGTTTTCTCTTCCTTTCTTTTTTTTTATTTTTTTTCTTAAAGTTTTCACTACCTATTATGTTATTAAAATTAAAAATTTGACAACCATTAAAAAACCAAAATAAAAAGATCTTCATTTTTATAATATTAAAAATAAACTAGTTTATTACGAAATATATATAATTAAAAAAAACCATTACACAAAAACTACATTTTTTTAAGTGGAAACGTGATTTTTAATTGAAAAAAATTTGTTATATGAAGGCTATGTTTTTTAAAGTGAAAACATAGTTTTTAATTGAAAAAAAAACATTATTGTATAAAAACTACATTTTATAAAATGGAAGCATCATCTTTAAATATTGTACAAAGACTATATTTTTTAAACTGAAAACTTGATCTTTAATTGAATAAAAAATTATTGTACAAAAACTACGTTTATTAAAATGAAAACGTGGTATTTAATTGAAAAAAAAATTATTGTACAGAAACTACATTTCTTAAAGTGAAAACATGGTTTTTAATTATACAAAATCTACATTTTGAAAGCAAAAAAACATAGTCTTTTATCTCATAAAAAAATTAGTTGATTAAAAATAATTTTCAGAAAATATTTTTTGTATTTTTAGGTGTTTGTTTGACAAAAAACTATTTAGTCAATGAAAAATTACTTATTGGTCAATGAAAAATGAGGTAATTTTTCTAGAAATTATCTTATTCTTTTCAAAAAGGGAAGATAATTTCTGAAAAGAAGCTGTTTATGAGTAAAACTACTTATCAATGTGTTTGATCATAATTTTACTCAAGTCAAACCTTGTACATGTTTTTTAAGCTCAAATTTAATTTAACTTGATCCAAAATATTATTATATTAATAAATAGCATTTTTATTTAATTTTACTTAAAAATTAAAATATTAATATTAAAAGTCTTTTAATATTTTAATTTTAAATATTTTTATAATTATAATGAAGTAAGACTTTGAACATAATATTTTAAGCTCGAACTTGATTTGATTCAACTTAAAATATTATTATATGAATAAAAATATTTTATTTAATTTTAATTAAAAAATCAAAATATTAGCTTTAAAAGTCTTTTGATATTTTAATTTTAAATATTTTAATTTTTATATTATTAAACATGAATATTTTTAAAATTTCAATAATAAATAGTATTATATTATTATTTTAATAATAAATAATAACATATATAATAATATTATTATTTTAATAATTAATGTTAAATAATATAATAATATTTTTTGTCATAATGTCTAGATCGTAAACCTACCACTAGACATAGATTAAAATAGTCATCACCAATCTTTTTTATTTAGTTGTAATTGGTCACCTGACAAAATCTGTCTCATTTAAAGATGAGTTATAAGAATGACTTAGGTATTTTTAAATAG